TTTTTTTTTTTTTTCTCCCCCCCTCCCGCCTATCCACAGCTACTCAGACGCAGACCCTGTTACTCTTTGCACGTGCACACAGACATTCACACAGATAAAAAAAACATGGGAAGGCTACTCACTCACACACACACACACACACAGAGAGATGCACGTACACACTCCATGTGAAATGAGGTTGTAAGGTTGCACACAAAAGAAGCAAGCCTTAGATATATTATATATTATATATAATATTACATATGTAAATATTACACATTTTTAATTTGACCCTAAGAATATAAGCACATTGGTATGTCAAGATTTTTCTTTGCTTTCAATTGGACTGAAGACATGAATCTACAGGCAGCTTTAGAGATCAGAAGAAAAGGTTTGAATTGGAAAAAAAAAGAGAAAGTCTTTTGATTGGTCTGTAGTAAAAAAGGCAAAGTGAACTCTTGGTGATATTCAGGCCTTAGAGAAGGTCGTCATCAGCGTCACTCAGCGAAAAAAGCATCAAATTCTGCTTTCTTTCAATTTTAATAACTGACACTATGAGATAAAACATCTTTTTTTTAAAGTGCCACTTTATTACAAAAGTATAAACTTGACTGACATTTCATGAATAGTAATCTTGATATAAAACATTACAATCTTTTGCACTTAGCACTTAATTACACGCTTCTGAGTACAAGACCCTGTAGTCTGAATAGCAAACACACAACATTAGCTGCCACATTTAACTTTTAGCTGGGCTTTCCAAGAACACACCGTAGCTTCATGGCTTCAAAAAACAACAAACAGAATACACTGAAATTTACATTGCAGCTGTTTTTGCAGTTTGTGTCACAAGATAAGTCATTCCAAAACACAATTAAACATAATAGAAAAAGATAGATTTCTTGACACTGATGATATATTTATTATTCTTTCTCTTTTGTAATGTACATACACATTGCATCAACATACAGTATAATCACATTGTTTGCTGGGGATATTTTGGTCAAATGAAATCATCGTTTATTGTCCAGGATTTGGATGTAATTTCTGAGTTGTGTGTTATCCTCTGGGTGATGCTCTGCTGCTTTTAGCGAAAACCATTTGCTTCACATTTTTGTCATTTCTGCAATATTTTTAACACTGATAACAGAGAGAGAAAGAGAGAGAGAAAGAGAGAGAGTGTTCATCGATGGAGTGACGATGAGACATGACGTTTGCTAATACACATCAGTTCTACTGTAGCTTTCCAAGCTGCACTATGGTGAAACCCAAGACGTTTCATATGACCACAAGGCAGGGACTATGTAGATGAACGGTCCACAGATATGAGTGAGGACTGAGCAGAGAGGGGTGTATGTATGTGTACGTGTGTGTGTGTGTGTGTGGGAGGGGAGGGGGGTTTGAGTGGACTGTCTCCAACTTTAGGACTCGAGCAGTTCTCTTTAGTCTCGTTTTCATCTGTACTGTGTGTGTGTGGCAGGCAAAGGATGAGAGAAAAATTAACTCTCCGCTGCACAGAGTCCCACTGAGCCAAACACATCCTTAATCTAACTGGCTTTGTGCTCTACAGAGAAATAAAGCAACACACTAAAAAAGCAAAAAAAAAAAACAAAAGAAACAACCAACGACAATAGAAAAAAAAACATTCATATAGAGGTACCACATGACAGTGCTTGATTTTTTGTTGGATTTTTTTCACTTTTTTTTAGCATGCAACTTGTAGCAGGCAAAGTGCAGAAACAGGATCAACAAAGTAAAACACTTCATTTACAGACGGCAGTGGAGACAGTGTTCAGTCCATGTAAGATGAAACAAAACATGACGGAGGGAAGTATCCGGTTGGTTTTTAAACACGATGAATGGTTTAAATTAGTCGAAGCTTTTAGGAGGAATGCAAAATGTGTGCAATTTTTTGTTATAATACTCTCATAATTGATTCTCTTGGTCCCTGAGCTTTCAAGTATTTTGATTAGTAATTCATTCCTTTATATCTTTTAAATCCCATCCTGAATCATATCTTGACCAACTACAGGGAAGGCCTGTTCATGACAGACTAAGTGCTACCGAAAGATTCACACAATGCTGTGCCTTTTCCCTAAATAGAAGTCCTGCTAGGACCAGTCAAACAACTATTTTTACCCGCTAGAATTGAGGAAGAATTTAGGCTTTTACTTTTATTGTGCTTGGCACATATGTATCAGTAAAATAGAAGTGCTACTGTTACCTACAGATTGCTCTGCAATGGTCTTGTGCTCATTTATTATTCACTACCTTTGGATTCCTTATAAGGTTTATAGATTGGACTTTGTATTCAGCCCAGGTCATAACAGATCAACAGTATTGCCCCAAGGCCTCAGTAGGCTGTGAAAGGCATGATGTTATGACTCGAATGTAAACAGTATGTGTGGGTGAGCATGACAGGGGCTCAGCCGTCACTCCTTGTGGTGTTAGCTCAGCTCCTTGTGTTGGAAGGATAGGGGTCACAGTGCAGCCGCCGCCTCAAAGCCCTGTTACATACATCTCCATGCCGTCGTTGAAAGTGAAGATGGTGGTGGTGCTGGAGGTGGCGGAGCCCTGCTTCAGGTCGCCGATGCTCTCGTACAGGTTCTCCCCCGGGAGCAGCAGGGCTTTGGCGGGCAGATGCTGTAACTTAGGGGTCTGCTGCGTCGGCGGCGGTGGAGGGGGCTGCTGCTGCTGCAAGGGCTGCTGGGCTTTCTTCCTCCTCGGCCGCAGGGTGGCACACGTGTTGGGGGGCCTCTCTCGCTTCCAGGCGCCTCCACCTTCCAGGTTCTCATAGGCCGGATCGCACTCCTCTGTCCCGATGGACTCGTAGCAGTGGTCGTCAAGGGGCCCTCCAATTGCTTTGCCCTCCTGAAGCGCCCACGTCTGGGGTTTGACCACTACGCTAAAACCCCCGTCCCGGTCTCGGTCCCGGTCTCCACGACCCAAGGTCCGGAAGCCAGGATTGGCTGGGGGAGACCCCGGCACAGCTCTCTTCTTCTTTCCTGGTTTACATACCTTTGAGTACATCTCAGCCACCTGCAGTCAAACAACATATTACTGAGGTTACAGATCTAGTTTATCATATATCTATATAAATAATAATAATAATAATAAGTAATAGTTTAAAATTGTGAAACTCTCATTCACTTTATTTTATGCATTTATGTAGTTTGACTCTTATTTCCTATCCAAGTATCCAGACCAGACATATCTAATTTTTATGACACAGGAAAAACATATATGCATTATTGTGTATAATAATATGAATTTATAGAAAATAACGTCCATACAGAATGATAAATTATAATAAGACATTTAAAATTGTGTTCACGTCGTACAAAATCAATGTCTGTCTGAGTAATGAAATAAAGTCAATCTCTTCTATTGTGCAGCGGACTGAACATTTTCTTCCATTCAGATGGTTAGAAGAGCCTTCAAGAATGCTTGAAATACCTTCAGGACAGTTGTACTTTTCTTTAAACGACCTTCTGGGTTTTTAAAAGAGGTTTTTCCTATTAGAGTTTTTTTTTCTAAAAATGGGTGCTTAGCACTGTGACTCAAATGCATTGATAGTAGTGTACACAAGAGGCACAACCTGGTTAAATCAAGAGTGATATAACGTCAGTGAAACAGATACAGAACATGGATACTGTAAAACAATTTGTAAAAAGTTTTTTTTTAATATTAAAGCAATCTAACTGTAAATTACAGGTCCAGTGTGTCGGATTTAGTGCAGCTCTATCTATTGGTTTGTCTGTTCTGGGTTAC